AGACCTCGCGAGGGCCCAGCCTGCGCCTCGCCAGCCAGATGCAGATGGGGTCGCCGGGCCCCAGCTCCACCTCGCAGTGCGCGCTGACAGTTTACACCACGGTGCGGATCAGATGCTCGACTTGACCGCCTGCAGCCCCGATCGGGCCCCTTCGACTTCGAGTCGAGCCGAGGCGCCACCCGCACGACCGTCTCCTTGCTGCGCCCCGCCGCGGCTGTCCTGCCCAGCGCCGCGACGGCGCCCCCCTGCTCGCAGGACAACGCGATGCGCTTGCGGCCCCATAACTGGAAGGCCTGGACCAGGACCTCGACGCCGTGGTCGACGGCCCCCTTCCCCACGACGCCGGCGCTCTCGACGACCGTCGACTCGAGGTCCACGCACGCACGCAGCGTCACCGCGCCGTCGGTACATCGCACCCCTGGGAACGAATGATCGATCCAGACCTGCGGTGCGCCCCACTCCTGGCCAGCCCCGCGGCGAACCTCTTCTCGGCCTCCCCCATTTGCACACGCCTGGCACCACGATCGGCACGGCCAATGGGTGAATCGACGCAGCTGACGTTCAGGGAGGCGGCACGACTGGCACTCCATTGGCCTGTGCGTCGCGGGCCATGGGCTACCGCAAAGCTCAATCGCGCCCCGCTGGTCGACGGCGACTTCCCGGTGGTCTCGCGCCAGCCTCCCACGGGTTGGCGCCGACGCAGCCGCTGAAGAGGCCGCCCCTGGTGGCGCCGCTGGCGTCGATGACGCATTCGCAGCTCCTCCTCCACTGGGCCCTTGTCATTCTCAACGTCTGGACGTCGTCCTTCAGGGTAGGCCGGCGCAGGGCGCACTTCAGCCGGCTGCTTCAGCGGCGCGACGTAATCGCGAGCTCGCTGGCCGCCACCACGCGCTCCACTTGCATGCACCAAATGCGCCCTTGCGGCGCGAACAGAAACGGACGTCCGCCAGGCGACTCAGTCGCGCTCGCGTAGACGCCGTTCCCCGGCACGAACCCCTGCCTCTAGCAGCAAGTCCTGATGCGCGACGGTCGGACACCTCACGGTGGCCACCTGGAACCTGAACTTCATGATATGGCTATGCTTGCTGGTCGCCTTTGCGATGAAGCTGATCTCGCAGGCGCCGTCGCGGGTGGTCTTCTGGCCTGTGGCAGCCCCCAGTGGAGGTAGGCCCCTCGGCTCGGCCCACCTCGCGGAGCCCTCGGGCCCCTTCGCTACAGACTCCGGCGGGCACGCGGTAACACCTTCACCGCCGTCTATCATCAAATAGTTGAACTCGCCCTTCCCCTGGCACACGTCGGATGCCGATGCCAGCAAGGCAACGCAGATGGTCTCCTCAACATCCGTGTCAGGCCAGGGGTAGGGTCTCTCCTCCTAGACGGTAACGCTCCTGTCTCTGGTCTGCCCCGGCTGCATCACGGCCGCAACCGACTGGTTCGCCGCGGCCGGAACCACCCCACCAGGAGACTGCGCCAGTCGTCGAGCCATGCCCAGGCGATGCAGCGCCAGCATCGAGACAGAAATAGCGCGGGCCCATCGGTGCTGAGTCGTTCGGGCCTAGGCTGCCCACGGCGCTCTCGCCCCTGGCCCCAGCCGCGGTACTTCCAGGGCTGGCAAGGTGGGTACGCTGCAGAAGCTGTCGAGGCACAAGAGCGTGTGCCACTCTGAGATGCCATCCTCTGGTCGCACCAACGCTTCTTCCTACACGTCTCCGCCGCGTGTCCGGAGATCTTGCACCAGTCGCACCACTCGTCAGTGTCGCCCATGCCTTTCGCCATTATTGCATTCGCCTCCTCGCGACTTGGCCTTGTCATCCTTGCAGTTGCCCCTGCCCATATTGCCTTTACCTTCCTCGCTCTCTCCGTCGTTGCACTAAGATCTCATGGCGCCCAAGTCCACAGGGGATCGCCTGGCTATCGTCTCGATTCCACCCCCGATGGTTCACAATGCAATACACGACCTCTTCGCGGATGCCTTTCTACATGACCAGCCTATGGGAGTTCAGCGTCCAAAACGACTTGAGCACCTAATCCTTCTGCCCTGGCACCAGAGCCTTCGCCTTGATCGATCCGGGTAATACGTCATCCGTTTGCTCCTCATAGCGTGCAACATCGCGTTCCTACGTCTCCATTGCTTCGACATGCCCCTCTCCAGACTCGAACATCGTGATCAGCAACGCTTGGGCCCGCATTATCTGATGAGCTGCCTGCAGGCCGAAGACGTTCGACGGTTTCATGTTCTTGATCAGCTGGAAGCCTCTCAACTTCAACACCATGCTGACCGTAAGTAAGTGGAACAGCGCTCTGGACCTCCTGCCGCCACCAGACTTCTCGTCGTCCAAAACCGCGGCTCGACCCATCAGCTCGACGGCGAGCTAATCCTGTGATGCCACGTAGCTCGTGAACAGGAAACACCAATCTGACCACGACTTCTGCTTGCCATCGAACCTGTCAGGACTCTTGGTAATCTTCGACTCGAAAAGACTCGTTCTTTCCTCGGCGGTGGCCGCTGCAAACGCCGCCGCCTCGTCTGTAGCCGCGGCCGCGGCTCCTGCCGCTCCCTCAGCGGCGCGAGCCGCTTCCACTTGCAGTCGATATGTTCGCTCTCGGATTTCTCGCGCCTCTCGATACCAGCTCCGCGCTTTTGAGCTCCAGCTGCTCGACCCTACGCAGGATCTCCTCGGGTGTCGCAATGACGTCCGCGCTGCTTCACGCCCCTCAAGTACTGGCCGAGCTCTTTCTCAGCGTCCTTCACCACGACGACCCAAGGGCACCCCTGCTCGACCGCGTCGAACTCCGTGGTCTAGCACCGCTGCTCCGTGCTACCATCCGACTGCCCAAAACGGGCGGCGGTGAGTGTAAGCTTCAGAGAAAGCTCGAGCAACATGTTATCTCGAGCCTGCGAAAACCTCGTAACAGCAAAGGTAAACTCGCACGGGACCAACCATTTCCCGGGCGCTCTTGGCGTCCCCGGGGTGCTCCGCACGACCTCTGGGACGGCTGCAGCGCCCCAAACGAAGCGCAGACTTCCGCGGAGCTCCACACCGAGCGCTCACGACGGTCAAAGAGCGCCTCGAGACGGCCCCAGATGGCCTCCAGATGGCCTCCAGAGCCTCCAAAAACGCCCCGCGAGGCCTCCAAGAGGCCTCCCAACAGGGCCCCAAGAGACAAAAACCATTGTTCCACTTGTGTTTTTTTTTGAAAGTTTGGGGGTACCTGCGTTTTCGGCTTCCTGACGCTCCAAAACGGCCCAGGACGCCTCCAAGATCGCCTTAAAAAGGCCCGAGAGGCCACAGAGACGGCCCCAACAAAGCCCGAACGCTCCAACATGCCTTCAGGACGGCCCAACAAGCCCCCCAAAACGGTTCCCACAGGGGTCCCAGACAGTCCCCCAACGGACATTTCGAGCCCGCGGCCCCGAGAAGCCTCCAGGAGGCCCAAAAAGGCCCCCAAGCTGGGTAGTCGAAGCCACTCTGGCGCCAATCTGGCAGGCCCAATCTGGCAAACGGGGGCAATCTGGCGAGGAGCCAACGCGAATCCAGTCTGGCGAATAACCCAAATCATCCAGTTTGGCCGGGCCAGATTGGCCCTGGGGGCCCAATCCAATCTGACACTCTGGCCTTCGACTACCCAGCCAAGAAGTTCTCCAGAGGCACCAAGAGACCCCCATGAGGACTCCAAGACGGCCTCCCAAGAGAGCCCCAAAAGAAAAACGAAAAACATCCCGACGAACAGTCTGGAGGCCTTCGACGCACGACCTGAGCACAGTGACGAAGGGGCCGAGGGCCATTGGATTACCCAGGGATCGAGACCCTCACGGCCCGGCTCTGTTGTCATTTACGAGGGGGCCGCTGCTCTGGGAGAGCGGGAGGTCCACCCCCACCGTCCTTCAGGAAGATCCGGACTGCCGCTCGGACGCCACAGTCTTCGGTCGGAGCCCTTGGGTGAGGCACTTCCCCATGTCTTTACCAGGGGGGACTGGCCCCGAGAGAGCGGGAAATCCATTCCACCCGGGGGAACGCAGGGTCTGCTGATAGCCGCTCGGATTCAACGGTTTTCGGTCGGAACCCTTGGGAACTTACGCAGGGGCGGGAGCGAGGCTGAGGATAAGAGCGAAGATGAAGATGGGTGGGGGCGCTGCAGAGCGCGAAGATGGAACGATGACGATGGGGGTGGCGACGATTAGGACGAGTGATAACAATGTTGATAATGACAATGATGATGAGAACGGCTCCACTCGGGATAAACGAAAACATTGAATCCACGCTGCCGAGGCCAAGACCCCTATGCAAAAACTAACAATCCAAAGTCCCAAGGCCACGATCCCTGGTAAACCAAAATTCTTAAGTCCGCACTCCCGGAACCACGGCCCAAATCAAAATACAGTAAATCCTCGCCCGTGCAATCACGCACACTCGTATGATTCATAAGGTGTGCGAACGCGTAGCCACGATCCCTCATACAACGGGGTCCTGGCCCTGTCCCTTACTTTGATTCCCGAACCCGCCAACAAACCAGCCAGCCGGCCAGCCAGCCAACCGGCCTGCCAGCCAGCAAGTCAGCCAAGCCAGCCAGACAGCCAGCCAACCAGCCAGAACGACAACTAGCAAACCGGCCGAGTTGCCAGCCCACTGTTGGAGGCCTGGAAATTGGCACCAACACCAGCACAGGGGGTTGCCTCCACATGGGCAAAATGATCCTAGATTTCGGTGCTGGTGGTAATATTTCGGTCACCTTGGAAACCAAAATATTACCACCATCACCGAGATCGGGATCGTCTTCCCTCGGTGGAGGCACACCGCCGATCTTGGTGTTGGTGTCAACCTCTAGGCCTGCGACACTGGGCCCGTCAACCAACCAATCAGCCAAACCAACACAACCATGCAGGCAAGAGTCCGGCGTAAGGAGGGCGAAGCACTTCAGCTATATCTCCATCATCCTTCAATCCCCCCCTCATCATCATCCGCCTCTGCTTTCCAAGATTTTTCTCCCCTCCCCCCCTCCAGGTAGGCCAAGTGGTGGTCCGCGTCTGCGCGTTTCTCCAAGGGGGCGCCCCGGCTTATCATCCACTGGCGCACCTGATGGGGCAGCTGGGAGACTTTAGCATCCACTACCGCTACCCTCATGCTTTCCTTACCCTTTTGTTTCCCTCCCTCCCTCCCTCCCTCCCTCCCTCCCTCCCTCCCTATGGCACATGTGGAACGCATGCTGGACGTCCTGTCTTCTACTTCGCCGACGGCAAAGACGTCCAGAGAAGCCTGCAAGCTGGAGGACCAGTGAGAAGGACAGCCGCCTGACGACGGTCTCGTAGAGTCCGTGGAACCCCCTCCCTCCGCTCCCCTACACACCCAACCTTCCGCCCTCTTCCCCTTCCCATTGATGAACTTCTACCTACACGACCACCCTTCGGGTGATAAGGAAGTTGGGGGGGCAAAAAAACAACTGATGGCAATCCTAGTGGTTGTGATGAAGACGATGCCAGCGATGCGCCCTCGGGTTGACGACGACGCGCGATGATGATGCTGGTCGCGATGAGTGCTGTCGTTCGTCATTCCACCCGGCGCGCTCCAGACATGAGGGACGGCGCAATCGAGACACCGGGAGCCAAGAAAGATCGCCCCATGTACACCCTGCGAAATGCTTTAGAAATCATGGGTTCAGAAATTCATAGTCTCAGAATCTGAATGAAAACCCAGAATGTCTATTCAAATCTTGGGGTTTACATTGAAACATTAAGAAATATCAAGACTCTCGCCGAAAACTTTGGATTTCTTAAGCATCGCCTAGAGTGTATTCTCCGCAGCACCCACGGGTGCCTCCCGTCGGGAAGCTTCTCGATCAAGTCACTGTGCGGGGGCGCGGCCGTGGCCCCCGCTGCTTCTGCAGCCGCGACCCACCACACTCGGCGCCGCCGGCAGGGCCTGGCGGGGCACCGCTGGAAGACCCTGGCGGCGAGGCAGGACCTGCGAAAGGGCGCGCGCCGCCCGCGGGCATATCGTGAACAGGCGGTGGAAGAGATCCTGCGTAAAGCTTGCCTGGGCCACACGACTGGGAGAGCAGTGCTCGCCGTCGCGGGAGCGGGCACGAAGAGGACGCAGGGATAGTGGCATCCGATGCGTTCGATCTCCTGTCGTGCTCACTATCGACGCACAGGAGATCTCACTGTCGATTCCATCGAGATCTCATGATCGATCTCACATCAAATGTCATTACGGTCGTATCGCGACGGTCCATCGGTCTCACTGTTGCAGATTCGATCTCTATTGATCTCACAATCGATCTTCCAACCGATATCACGATCGGTCTCACAACAGGCCGCACGATCGATCTCCCGATCGATCTTACCGTCGATCTGACAATCGAACTCCCCATCGATCGCACCTTCGAACTCACTATGGATTTCGCAACGATCAGTCTCACAATCGATTTCCCAATCGATATCACAACAGATGTCTCACGATCGATCTCACAACGAATCCCAATATCGCAAACGATATCACTATCGATCTCGCCGCCCAGCTCCTGGACATTGACTCGCGCCGCCCTGCTCCAGGAAACGGAACGCCGACGGGACACCGACGGGACACCGACGGAAGACCGAAGCGCCACCGACGGAAGACCCCGGGCCACTGAGCGCAGGACGGGGGAGGGGCGGACATCCGGCTCCACAGCCCCTAGCCACGGCACACTTGTGCAGTCCAAAACCCAGATAGCAGCGCGGTCCAGTCCAGAGCGCGCGAAACGCAGAGAGGAGCCGCTTGCACGGATGCTGAGAAGCACGCATGGCGAGCTTGCAAGGTTCGAAAATGCCTGTGGGAGACGCTCGCCAGGATGCTGAAAAGCATGCTTGGGGAGCTTGCAAGCTTCGAAAAACGAGCTTCCAAGGCGCTGCGAAGGACCTGCGGCAAGGCTTCAGGCACGCGTATTGGGAACGAGTAGGAAACCCGCTGCAGCTTCGAGCAAATTGCCCCGAGGATGCCTGACCGGGAGCCTTGGAGAGAGGCTGGCGTAGCCGTGCCTGCCGGCTTCATCTAAAAACCCTCTTAGCTCTCCAAGGAGCTATGCGGGAATCATTCCTCTCGTGCGCTCACTCAGCTTCGCCTCGCCAGCACGCACGACACGAACACGAAACCGAAACCGATTTCCCGGTGGGTGGCTCTCCAGTGAGATCTCAAATCCCAACCTCCGATCACTCCCTCCCTCCCTACCTCCCCCGCCCTTCCCTCCCCCTCCCTTGCTCCTCCCTCCTCTCCTCTGTCTTTCTCTCTATCTTTCTCTCTCTCTCTCTCTCTTTCTCGGCCCTCCGCCCGTACATCCCATCTTCCCCTTCCGACGGCCCCCATGGGAGGTAGATGGCGATCTGGACCAACAGCAAAAAGGCACAACCTCGTCGGGAGCCGAAAAGGAAACGTGCGTTTTTCGCGGGCACGTGGCGGGCCCGGTCGAAACCAGACTCCGGCGAAACGAACGGGCGACAGACCGATCGAGACCGAAACCGACCCGAAACCCTTCGAAGCGGCCGCGAATGACTTCCTGAAATGATGCCCTCGTTCCTTGGGAGGCCCCCCCGCGGCGCCTTCATGCGCGCCCCCCGAGGTAGGCACCAGAGCGTGCGCGTGCCCTCCGAGCTGTCCACGGCCGCTTTGAGCACTGCGGCGCGCGCAGGGCGGCAGGGCGGGCACGAGGCGAAGAGGCGCCGAGCGGGCAGAGCTCAAAGCTCGCAGATGCCGCGCGCTGGGGCATGCGATGACCTAGCGTGAGTAGGCGACGAGCCCAGGGGGGAAATGAGAAGGAGAAGGCCTTCTCAGAAGGCCGCGGGACTTCTTAGAAGTCCGGGGGGCTTCTGAGACGTTTCCTTGGCCTATTTCGAATACAGACAGAACTTCTCAGAAGCCCTCTAAGAAGTCCAGAAACTTCTCAGAAGCCTCGGAAGTCCCGCCCCTTCTCATTTCCCCCCCGCGCCCGCCGCCGAGTGAGGCACAGTGGCATGACAGAAGCTATCGGCATCAGCCGCGCCAGGCTCTACCCGCTTAGGAAGCGCCACCAGAGGGAGGAACCCCAGCACCAATCTGCGTTGAAGTACCAGGGAGGCGGCGACACCACCAGAGGAACCACAAGAACTCGGCTGCAATCAAATACCAAGGCCGCAGTGGCGATGACACCCGCCCTTCCACCGAACCACTACACCGCGTCAACACGTGCATGTACCGAAACACTAGGACGGCGCGTGAAAACTGTGTTGGGATAACGACCTCTGGCAATCGAGAGATTGCGGAAGCATCTCAACACCCGACCTGCAACACGCTCAGGCCTCCTGCAGTGGGGATACGTAGCTCGAGTCAAAGCTGGAGCCACTGTCCGTGTCGCCGCCTTCGACCCTCCCTCCCTCCCCCCCTCCCTCCCCCCCTCCCCCCCCCCTCCCCCCCCCCCCCCCCCCCCCCCTCCCCCCCTCCCTCCATCCCTCCACCCCCCCCTCCCCCCCCCCCCTCCCCCCCTCCTCCACAATTACTCAATATTACTCTCCCTCTTCCCCTGATGACCGTTTGAAAGTGCTCGACCCCCCCCGCGTACTGTTTTTTACACACAGGTTTTCCCGGAGTTGGGTTTTCGCCTGCATTTGTTTCAAAATGCTGCTCTCGCTGAGGCGCCAGCCTCATTTTCGGACCCCGCTCGTTCCGAATCGTGCTCCCGCTGCAGCGCTGGCCTCATTTCCGTGCTGCCGCTCGTTCCGAATCGTGCTCCCGCTGCAGCGCTGGCTTCATTTCCGCGCTTCCGCTCGTTTCGACTCGTGCTCCCGCTGCAGCACTGGCGTCATTTCCCGTGCCATGCCACGGCATGCAATGCAATGCTAGGTTGACACTACGCTTTGCGGTGCTCTTCTACGCCATGCCACGCCGTGCTCTACAATGCATCGCGTACCCTTTCGGGATCATTGCCCTGCTCGACATCCGACTGTGCGAGTAGAGAGGGGATCTGCGCCATGGTAAGGGATGGGAGGGAGGGGTAGGATGTCAGATATGACGCGAGCGCACCTAGCTTGCCTCCCCCCCTCCCCCCCCCCCCCTTTCCCCCCTTCCTCCCTCCCCCCCTCCTCCCCCCTCCCTCCCCCCCTCCCCACCCCCCCCCTCCCTCCCTCCCTCCCTCCAGCCTCACCTCCAGTGTCGCCACTGCCTCGCCCCGTCCCTGGGTGGGCCCTCCAGCCGCGCCTCTCGCCCCTCGAGAGGAGAGCCCGTCTGGCCTACGATCCAGGGGCCTCGGGGCCCACCACCCGCCGACCGCCAGCACTGGAAACACGTCGCCCCAGCCTTCGCCTCCACACACACACACACACACACACACACACACACCATCACACTTCGTCCCTTCTGACATTCCGTGTTGTACCTCACCTTGTCTCGCACCCTGTCTCCCCGCTCCAAACCCGCTCTTCTCCAAACCCCACTCTGTTCCACATACCTCTTTAACTCCTCCTCCTCCTCCTCCACATCCTCCTCCTCCTCCTCCTCAGCCTCCTCATCCTCCTCTTCCTCGGCCTCCTCATCCTCCTCCTGCTCCTCCTCCTCCTCGTCATCATCATCAGCAGCACCACCACCACCATCATAATCATCATCACCTGTATAGTTTCGCTGTGGTCTTATATGAATCATATTGTTAGGATTAGCAGTACGCTTGTTCTTTGAACCATACATTTCATGTGCGTTGTTAGTATGCGTGCTAGGACGATGAATACTGTTAAGGTCATTAATAAGATTAGCAGTAGTATCACTGATAGTGGTATTAGTCTGATTCCTAGTGTTACTAGTAATATTAATAGGTGGTATGAGTATGATGCTCAATAGTGTTAGTACCAATCGTACTACGACTATTCTTACTGGTAGTCGTATTACTAATACTAGTAGTAGTAGCCGTATTACAACTGTTTACTGATTGTGATGATGAGTCGTGTTCGCATTCGTATTCGTATTAGACACATACGTAATGACCGTCGCATTCGCATTCCTAATGGTAGCAGCGCTAGTATGCTTAATATGATTGCCAGTAGCATTAATCATCATATGATTCGCGCGCCTGTTCTTGTTCTATAAAATAGTCGTCTTAGTCGCACTTGTTACTACGATGTTTCTGGTAAAATAAAATAGTGTTACTACGATGTTTCTGGTTACCGCTGATATTAGTAGTATGAGTATTACTGTTAGTAGTGGTGGTAGTAGTAGCAGCAGTAGTAGTAGTAGCAGCAGTAACAGGAGCAGTAGTAGTAGTACTAGTACTAGTAGTCGTAGTAGTGGTAGTCGTAGTAGCAGTAGTAGTAGCAGTAGTAGTAGTAGTAGTAGTAGTAGTAGTAGGAGGAGTAAGCATAGTAGTAGTAATAGTAGTTGCAGCAGCAATAGTAGTAGTGGTAGTAAGCATAGTAGTAGTAGTAGTAGTAGTAGTAGTAGTAGTAGTAGTAGTAGTAGTAGTAGTAGTAGTAGTAGTAGTAGTAGTAGTAGTAGTAGTAGTAGTAGTAGTAGTAGTAGTAGTAGTAGTAGTAGTAGTAGTAGTAGTAGTAGTAGTAGTAGTAGTAGTAGTAGTAGTATAGTAGTAGTAGTAGTAGTAGTAGTAGTCGCATGTTTGTTCGTTTGTTTGTTGTTATTATTACTATTCCTCAACCTCCTCCCCCTTGGCCTCCTCCATCTGGTCCGCCTTCTCCTCCTCCGCCGCCTCCTCCACACCCCGATTCCCACCCCCTTTGCCACCGTCCTCTGCGCACTCTTCGTACACCCCATTCCGACGAGCCGCTGCGACTGCGCGCAGCTGCGCCTGAACACGTCGGCCTTGCCTCCGCCAGCTGCTCCTGCGGGCCGCACGACTCCTCGCGAGCTCGGACAAACGGGCGGTGAGAGACGGCGAGGGGAGGCCAAATAACTGCATGACATAATGCGGTCCACCAGCAGAAACGCCTGGCCCAGGGCCGCTTGAAAGATTGAAACCCGTGTAAGACTGGTCGCGGGGGGTGCGAATAGCCACCAGGATAGGCCCCTACCCCAATACCCGCACCCCCCTACCCTCGGCCACAGCCACACTTCAGAAAACTGTACGCCTGCATCAGGAAACGACCGGCGCGGAAACACACGACACCAAAACGGAACAAGATGCTGCAGTACCGGGGGGTAGAAGCCCATAAGCCACGAACGTTCGGCTCCAGACTACACAAGGCCAACCTAGAAGCACGAGAAGTACAGAAGCAACCGAGGCGTACCAATCCACTTGTCCAAGCGAGGCGAATATGAGCATGAACGCTCAATGCAAAAAAAACTCATCAGCAGATATGCACGATCTGCGCAGCCCTCATCTACGCCGTGCCTCCGAAGAGCCCACGAAGGTGGCGACGATTGCGCTGTCCGCAGCCACCCAGGGAGCCGCGAGGTCTCGGCTGGATCGGCGTGGTCCCCAACTCCGCTGGACCTCCCAGGAGCCCACGAAGTTGGCGACGATTGCGCTGTCCGCAGCCACCCAGGGAGCAGCAAGATCTCGTCTGGGTGCGCGTGGCCCCCAACTCCGCTGGACCTCCCAGCCCACAAGGTCGTGACAGTTGCGCAGTTCGCAGCCACCCAGGGAGCAGCGAGGTCTCGTCTGGGTGCCCGTGGCTCCAGACTCCGCTGGACCTCGCAGCAGCCCACGAAAGCGGCGACAGCTGGGCAGTCCACAGCCACCCAGGGAGCAGCGCAGAAGGAAGGAGGAAACGGGAAAGGCGCGACGAGAGAAGGTGGAGGCCACAATGCTCTTTTTCAAAACGAGAACCCAACACAAGAGGGTTGGGAATCACTATGCTCAATGACCCGGATCCCACGCTTTCTACCGCGAGACCTTCTCCGCGTTCGACTCCTCCTCACCTCCCTCAACTGAGGCCTCCTGGACAATCTAGGGATATGTTAAAGCTTCCTGGACCATCCTAATCTCGCCTGGGCCCTCCTGACACGGCTTGCGGCCCCACTTGGGATTCCTGTACAAGCACCCGTTCCTTCTAACACTATGTCTCCCGCTCATCACCGTGTTCATCATAATCCTCCGAGTATTCCTCCTCCTCCTCCTCTTCTTCCTAATCCTTCTCCTCATCCTTATCCCCATCCTCATCATTATCATCATTATCATCATCACCGCCACCCTCACAACCATGACCGCAACCATCACCATCATCATCATCATCATCATCACCACCACCACCATCATCATCATCATCATCATCACAATCATCATCACCATCATCATCATATTATGCATCCTCATCATCATTATCAGCAGGATCATCACAATCAGAATCACCATCATCATCGCCATCCTCCTCATCATCATGTCATCATCAGCATCATCATCATCCTCCTCATCATCATCAGCATCATCATCATCAGCAGCAGCATCATCACCACCGCCATTAGCATCATCATCATCACCATCAGAATCAGCATCATCAGCAGCAGCATCAGCATCACCGGCATCGTCATCGTCATCGTGATAACCAGCATCGTCATCACCACCATCAGCATCATCACCACCACCACCACTATCATCATCAGCAGCATCATCATCACCACCACCACCATCATCATCAGCATCATCAGCAGCGTCATCATCGTCATCATCATCATCAGCAGCAGCATCATCAGCAACAACATCATCATCATCATCACATTGGCAGCATCAGCACGAGCATCGTAAGCGGTAGCATCATCATCATCATCATCATCATCATCATCATCGTCATCAGCATCAACATCATCATCAGCATCATCAACATCATCCACATCATCACCATCATCAGTATCGTCAGCATCATCACCACCATCATCATCAGCAGCAGCATCATCACCGTCGTCATCATCATCAGCATCATCGTTATCATCGTCATCATCATCATCGTCGTCGCGATCATCAGCATGATCATCAGCGCTGTCACCGTAATCATCAGCATCAGCATCGTCTTCATCGCCACCATCAGCACCATCATCATCATCATCATCAGCATCATCATCATCACCGTCAGCATCATCATCCTTATCCTCATCATCATCGTCATCATCGCCACCATCATCATCATCATCCTCAGCAGCAACATCAGCAGCACAGCCGTCACAACCTTCACCATCATCATGGTCACTCTTTACCCCCGTACACCGACTATTGTTAATCCGCCTCGTATCGTTATCAACACTATCATCGACATGCGCACTACAATCATAAATTTCATTAGTCACTGCCACACAAAATCCGTCACACCACCATCACCATTCCAACCACCACATATTGTGCTTATCGTACTCGTTGCCATCGTCATCAGCACCATCGTGCTTATCAATACACGGCTATAGTCATCAGAATGATCCTCGTCATCCTCCCCATCACCACATCATCATCAGTAGCAGCATCATCACCATAACATCATCATCAGCAGCAGCAGTACCATCATCATCAGCATTATCATGATCAGCACCATCATCATCATCATCATCATCATCATCATCATCATCATCATCATCATCATCATCGTCATCATCATCATCATCATCATCATCCTCATCATCATCATCATCATCATCATCATCATCATCATCATAACCATCACCATCATCACCATCGCCCTACATCATTGTTCTCGCACCTCGTTTTCCAAGCGGATCCCCCCAGCTGAGGAAGGCGAGGCAGGGCGCGAGAGCATCCTCCAGGCAGTCAACCCCGATGCCGCGCAGGTCCTCGCGCCAGACGCGGGAGGAGCTTATCCACGCGCCCTGTCCACCCAGCCCCGTCCAATCCATTCCTCGTACAACTGTCCTCCTAAAATGTTCATCCTTGCAGGGCCAGAATGGTCCAAGTCGGCGCCAGCTATACTGAGCACAGCGCAACAGTCCAGAGGTACTGCGGCACACCAGCGGCCTCAGGGTAAAAACGCGTTTCATGCTGAAAAAGCCTGCGCAGACGACGATGACTCGACGTGTCGTTTAATGGCTGCCCCACTCGCTCCATCCCCATCACCCTCCCCCATCCATCACGGTTTGGGACTGGGACATGCGCTTATATATAGATATACATACGTACATACATACATACATACATACATACATACATACATACATACATACATACATATATACATACATGCATGCATGCATGCATGCATGTATGCATGCATGCATATATACATACATACATGCATGCGTACATGCGTACATGCATACATACATGCATGCATGCATGCATACATACATACATGCATGCATACATGCATGCATACATAAGTACATACATTCAGTCATGCATGCATGCATGCATCCATCAATACACATGCATATATATACATACATACATACATACATACATACATACATACATACATACATACATACATACATACATACATACATACATACATGCATGCATACATACATACATGCATGCATACATACATATATACATACTTACATACACTCATGAATGCATGCATGCATGCATACATGCATGCATGCACCCATACATACATACATTACATACATACATACACCCATACATGCATGCATGCATGCATGCATGCATGCATACATACATACATGCATGCATACATACATGCATGCATGCATGCATGCATGCATACATACATACATGCCTTCATGCATGCATGCATGTATGCATGCATACATACATACATACATACATATATATATACATATATACACACACACACGCCATACAGCCATACAATACGTAGCCCCTGCGATATTTTTGTTACAAAACCTGCCAGCCCAATGGCGTTGCCTTGGGTTCTGACTCCGGTCCCTATAACTCAGTAGACGAAGGTTTGCCCCTCCTCGTATCCCCCTCCTGGTGGCCCCAAGCTCGGCGGATCGCTGAGCGCCATGGCCTCCTGTCAGGGCGCCGAAGCCAAAGATGCCGATGCACAAAGCAACGCGACCCAAAAGAAGCACGCTGAAAGCATGATTGCTCATAGAAGGACCCCGAACCCTTTGAGAGGCGACCTAAATTAGGAGGGCCAGGAGAATAACGGATAGGAGGTCTTTTCTGCAGATGTATCAGGCCAAGCCGCCCAGATCAATTGGCCACGTCTTCATCGTGTTCTTATGGTCAGGGGTTATGTTGCTCGCGATGATAGCGTGACGCTGAGATGTTCCTGAGCGAGGCCCCCGAGGGGCTCCCGAGAGCGCGACGGCACCTGCGGCCGCGGCGGCAGGGGGGTAAGCGGCCCCCCTGGCGGTGGGCTGACGGGATACCATCGTGGGGGGTTCTCCTCCTCCTCCTCCTCCTCCTCCTCCTCCTCCTCCTCCTCCTCCTCCTCCTCCCCCTCCTCCTCCTCCTCCTCCTCCTCCCCCTCCTCCTCCTCCTCCTCCTCCTCCCTCTCTTATAAGATGGGCCTCCTAGATGGGGTCCGAGCGGATGGGGGCGGAGGAGCGCCTCCGCACCACCGAGGCATCGGCGATGCATCGGCGCTGCATCGGCGACGCATCGGCGATGCCTCGGCGACGCCTCGGCGCCGTCGGCGTGGAGACAGTCGGGCGCCACACCGAGCCACATCGGCGATGCATCGACGATGCGGCGCGGCCCTCCGACCCGAGCTGCTCGGACCCCCTCTGGGAGGCCGAGATCAGTGGCACGGCGGGATCCTGGCGGCGCGCACAAGGGGGTGTGTATGGGGAGGGGGGAGGGCTTCTTGGAAAGTGGCTGCCTCTGAGAAGGCGCCGACCTTGCATCTATATAGAGAAGGCCCGCGCCTCCTGAGAAGCAGAGGCGCTTCTGAGAAACCCTCCCCCCTCCCCCCCCTTCTGCGCGTGGCCGAGGATTGGTGGATTCAGCGCATGCTCCGAAAGCGGCTTGGGCGCACGCCGTGCCTGCTCTCCTGCCGCCTCGACACGAGGGGCCCTCCTTCCGGGGCCGGTTTCTCGATCGGCTCGCTGCCTCCCCCTGGGCGGAGCCCCTGGAAGATGGGTCTCCCCTGCCCGGCCTCCCGTGGCCCGTGCCCATTGAGAAGGCGACCGTCGACCCGGGCGGGCATCGACCAGCTTCGGCGGCCCCAGAGAGGCCGGCATGCCTCGAACGCATCGTGCGGCACCACTGGTATGGTGATCCACCGCTGTCGCGGCCATGGCCCTGGGGTCGCCTTCTCTGGCCTCGCTCGGTCGGTGTGTGTGTGTGTGTGCTTTGACTTGCCCGAGCGGGCCCGGCTTACCCTCTCCCCGTCGCGCCAGGGTCTCCTCCTCCTCATACGTGCATTGCGGCCGAATTTGCATATTGTGCGCCCCCCTGATGCCTGATCGCCAGAGCAGTCGCCCTCTGCCCAGCCGCCGACGCAAAAATTGTATGTGTGTGCGCGTGTGTGCGTGTGTGGCGCAAGGCGATGCGAGCGATCGAGAGACGAAGCCCCTTTTTCTTTTCTCTTAGCAGGCTCCTGGCCAGGCCTCACGCCCCCATTGACCCCCCTCCCTCGTCCCCGCCCCCCTCGTTCCCGGCTCCCCTCCTCTGCTCGCCTCGTCCCGCTGTCCCTTCCCCTCCTCCCTCCTCCTCTCTCTTTAGTTCTCTCTCTCTCTCTTTCTCTCTGTCTCTCTCTCTCTCTCTCTCTCTCTCTCTCTCTCTATATATATAGAGAGAGATATCCCTATATGTATATATATATAGCTCTCTCTCTCTCTCTCTCACCAGACATCCGGCCGCTCAAATGTCCCCACCCTCCTTTGGTTCAGTTCTCGTTTTGAATCAAGCATTGGTGTGCCGACTCCCTTTTCCTTCTCCTTTTCCTCCCGACCCCCCCCCGCTCTCCTCTCGGTTCTCTTCCCTCGCACCCCTCTTGGGGGCTGCGAACCGAGAAACTGCCGCCATGTTCCAGGGCTGCTGGGGGGGCCAGCACAAAGGGGTCCCACGCAGGCCCAAACGGGACCTCGCCATCCCCTGGGGGGCTGCGAAGTGTGAAGCTGTCGCCACTCTCGAGGGCTGCTGCAGGGGCCAGCACAGTGGGGCCCCAAACGGGACCTCGCCATCCCCTGGGGGGCTGCGAAGTGTGAAACTGTCGCCACTTTCGAGGGCTGCTGCGGGAGCCAGCACAGTGGGGTCCCAGGCGGACCCAAGCGGGACCTCGCTATCCCTGGGGCGGGCTGCGATCTGTGAAACCGTCGCCACTCTCGAAGGCTACTGGGGGAGCCAACACAGTGGGGCCCCACGCAGACCCAAACGGGACCTCGCCATCACTGGGGGGGCTGCGAACTGTGAAACTGTCGCAATGTTCGAGGGCTGTTGGGGGCTGCGAAGTGTGAAGCTGCGGCCACTTTCGAGGGCTGGCGGCGCGCCTGCGCACGCTAGGTGCTCGCACTGAGAGGTGCAGGGAGGAAGCAGAAAGGCTTGGAAGGGGCGCAGGGACACACAAATGAATACACACAAATCCCAGGATTCCTTATGTTTTCCATAGTTTCTGCATTTTCGTCTTCCCGCCCACACACTTCCCATAGTTTCAATGTTTTCCTGGGGGTCGACGATTAATTGTGTTTGTGTGTTTGTTTCCCTCCTGAAGGCTGGCGGGCGTGTCGGGCCTTGACCGTTTCTCTCACACAAACAACGGGAGCTTTTCGTTTTCCGAGGCGCTGCAGCAACGCCGAACGCTGGCCGCGCCGGTGTTGTTGATCATTTCGGCATGGAAGACACGACAATTGACTGTCTGGTCGAGTCTCCGCCTATGTAACCTTCTCTTGCCCATGGCTCCATCATCTCGCTGCTTCTGCCGCGGTGATTGCTCTTCCACCCCGAGGTCTTCCTTTTGCTTCTCCTTCCCAGCCCAATGCCTCCTGGCCTTTTGTACATCTGTTCTGCGCATCGTCCACGCACAGTTCGCTCGGTATAGAGATCCGCCGTGCTCCGTCTCTTGCAGCGTTTCTGTCACACTATTGTTGGCAAACCTTATATCATCCACTGGTGGCGATGGATTGGGTACGTCGCAGGGTAATTGTTCGATGCGTGGGCCACAAGAAGTCTGGACCACTTCCCTAGTGCCAACTTATCGCCCTGAGACGTTTTCTGACGCTCCCGAGGCCCGGTGAGGGCCCCTGGAGGCTGAAAACGGCCACAAACCCGCGCTCCAAATTTTTCGATGCGTGGGCCCCGGAGGTCTGGACCACTTCCCCAGGGCCAGTTTTTGGCCCTGAGTTGGTTCTTGACGCTCGCGAAGCCCTGCGAGGACCCATTGAAGCCGAAAACGGCCCAAAACCCGCCGCTCCGATTTTTCCGGAGCGTCGGATCTCTGGGTCCCTCTCTCTCTCTCTCTCTCTCTCTTTCTCTCTCTCTCTCCCCCATGGGGGGTCCCGTCTTGGGGCGGGGCGGGGGCCAGCCCGAGTCGCTCACCCCCTCCCCCCTCTTTCTTGGACGCCCGAAAGGGGTACGGAAAAAAGGGTTACAATGCCCGGCAACAACTGTTGTCCAAAACCGACAGCGGCCGCTGTCGGGCAGGCGGCTTCTTTGTCTTCGAAGAACAACGTCCGCAGCGGCGCGGACAGCGAGCCCTGTGCAAAATGAACAGGAAGTGCTGCTAGGCATCGTACCCATTCTTTCCGTACCCATTTCGATCGTCACGATCTCTGCTGCCTAGGAGGAGACTGCTTCGTAGAAGTCGCCGGCCTTCCACCTGAACAGAAGGCCCGCGCCTTCTAAGAAGCAGGGGTCCTTCTAAGAAGCCTTCCCCCCTTCCCCCTAACCCCCTCTGCGCGTGGTCGACCTTTCTTCTTACAAGAACAGCGTCGACGGCGGCGCGGACAGCGAGTCCTGTGCAGAATGAACAAGACCTGCTCTGCTGTCGGTCTTTGTGCCCCTTCTCTCAAGACCCATTTCGACCGTCCCGAGTCCCTCCCCCCCGATCGTCCGGATTCCCCCCCCCGATTCCCCGGCCCCGATTCCCTCCCCTCCGAGCTGCTGCTGGGCATCGTGCCCACTCTTGCCGTGCCCACGTCGACCCTCCCCCCCCAGGGGTCCACCTACCCCCCCCTCCTGCGGACCCCCAGGCCCGGCTGGGGTCCGGTTTGGGCTGGGCGGGCCCCCGCGAGGGGCCCGGAGAAGCGCGGGGCGGCGCGCAGAGGGCGGGCAGGGGGAGAGGGGGAGGCTTCTGCGAATGGGGGGCGCGCAGAGATGGACTAGCCTTAGGTCGGGCATGTCCCCCAGCAGGCGGATGTCGCGCGAACAACAATAAAAAGATCCAAAAATATTCAGAAATTGTCAAAAAATGGTCGACAACTCGTCCCCAGACTATGTTTTGAATATTTTTGGATTTTCCTCCTGTAGAGGAACGTGCCCGACTTAAGATTAGCGATCCATGGACTGAGCGCGCGGTCGCCAAATCCTTGGATCGGGGGAGGTGCCCTCCCCAAAATGCGGCCCGTGCCGCCTCGCTGGGCGGCGGGAATCCGCGATGTCCCGTGGAAACGGGGCCCGTCGCTATTCCACGCCCCCTTGATCCATGTTTTCGATCGCCTGATCTTAGAAGCCAGGGTGCTCCTAAGAAGCCAGGGTGCCCCTAAGAAGCCTAAGAAGCTCAGACGCTACGAACCCACTTGCCACGAACCCAGAGATCTGGCGCTCCGAAAGAAATTCAGCAGCGTATTTTCGCCGTTTTTGGCCTCCAGGGGCCCTCGCCGGGCCTCGAGAGCGTCAAAAAAAAGTCAGGGCCAGAAATTGGCCCTAGGGAAGTGGTCCAGACCTCTGGGGCCGACGCATCGAAAAAAATTGAGCGGCCAGGTGTCTGGAAACCATCAGCGTCGTGCTCACGTCCAGCTTCGTGGTGAAAGCCGTGACCCCAGTGTGCGTCGCCATTGCCGCGGTCTTTGAATGAGCATCGCTCACGAGCACTATTTCAGGAGGTTGGAGAAAGCACCCTGATAGCAACGGGTCACATTGTGGGACCAGTGTGACCTGCGGGACCTGTGAGACCTGTTGGACCTCTGGGACCTGCGCGCGCGACCTGTGGGGCATGTGGGACAGGTGGGACCTCTGGGACCTGTGGGGCTTGCGGGGCTTGTGGGAAAAGTGGGGCACGTAAGACCTGGGGCACTGGTAGAGCCATGTGGGGCCTGAGGGAACTGTGGGACCTGTGGGACCTGTGGGACCTATGGGACCCGTGCGGCCTGTGGGACGCGCGCAACCTGTCAAACCTGCGGGGCCTGGGAGACCAGCGAAACCCGTGAGACATGTGCGCCCTGTCGGGCCTGGGGTTCTGTAAGACCCCTGGGACACCTGTCAGGGCTGCGCGACCCGTGGAACAGGCGAGACCCGTGGGACCTGTGGGGCCTCTCGGGCCTGTGGGACTTGTGTGAACTATGGGGCCTCTCGGGCCTGTGGGGCTTGTGTGCGGCCTGTACGACCTGCAGGACCTGCGGCGTCCGTACGACACGTGGGACCAGTGGGACTGCGGGGCCTGCGGTGGGCCCTGTGGGACCCGTGGGACCTGCGGGACCTGCGGGACCTGTGGGACCTGTGGGACCTGTGGGCAGGTGGAACTGTGGGACCTAAGGGACGTGTGGGGCATGTGAGACCTGTGGAGCTTCTCGGGCATGTGGGACGTTTGGGAACCATGTGACACGTGTGGCGTGTACGGCCCACGGGACCTGTGGCCCCCGTGCGACGTGGGACCTGTGGTGCCTGTGGGCCCTTTGAGACTTGTGGGACATGTGGACATGTGGGACATGTGGAAGCTGCAGGACCTGTGGGAACTGTGGGAAATGTTGGCCATGTAGGTTATGTGGCACCTGTGGGACCTGTGGGACCTGAAGGGCCTGCGGGACTTGTGGGACCTGTCGGACACGTGGAACCTGTGGCCTGTGGGACCTGTGAGGAGACCTGTGAGACATGTGAGACCTTTGGCGCCTGCGGGCAGGCAGGGGCTGTGAATTTGCGCGACCTGCCAGGACCCGTGGGGTCTGTAGGACCTGTGGCACCTGTGGGACATGGAGGACCTGAGGAACCTGTGGGGCCTGCGGGCTCTGTGAGAACTGTGGGACATGTGAAACCTCTGGCCTGTGGGACCTGTGGAACCTGTCGGCCTGTGGGGCCAATCGGACATGTGGGACCTGTGGACCTGTAGGACATGTGGAACATGTGGCCTGTGGAACCCGTGGAACGTGTGGCGCTGTGGAACATGTGGCCTGTAGGGCGTGCGAGCAGGTGGGGACTGTGGATTTGGGCGACCTGTGGGACCTACGGCACCTGTGGGACCTGTGGAACCTGGGGGACCTCTGTGGCCTGTGGGACTTGTGAGATCTGTGGGACATGCGGGAACTGTGGGACATGTGGGGCCTGGGGAACCTGTGGGACATGTGGGACCTGTGGGACCTTTGGGACTTGTGGGACCTGGACGGACCTATGCGGCCTGTACGACCTGTGAGGCCTGTGGCAGCCGTGCGACGCGTGGAATGTGTGGGACCTGTGGGGCCTGCGGGCGTTGTGGGACATGTGAGACCTGTGAGGCCACCTGTGGGACCTGTGAGACCTACTCGACCTTTGAGACACTCGAGACCTGTGGGACGTGTGAGGCCTATGGGGCAGGTGGAACTGTGGGACTTATGCGGCCTGTGGAACCTATGGGACATGTGGGACCTGGGGAACCGTGTGGGGCCTGCGAGACCTGCGGGACCTGTGGGACGCGTGGGCAAGTGGGGGTTATGGACTAGCGCGACCTGTGGGACCACGAGGACCTGATGGACCTGTGGGACCTGGGGATCAATCTGAGGCATGCGGAATATGTGAGATCTGTGGAACCTGTAAAACCTAGAGGTATACGGGAACTGTGACACAGGTTGAGCCTCTGCGGGGCCAAGTGGGGCATTTGAAACCTGTCGGAAATGTGGGATATGTGGGCAGGTTGGGACTGTGGACTTGCGCGACCTGTGGGACTTACGGGACCTGTGCGGCCTGCGGGACCTGGGGGGCAGCCCATGGGAATTGCGAGATTGGCGGGACCTGTCGGACCTGTGGCACATGTGGGACCTGTGCGGCATGCACGACCTGCGGGACCTGTGGCGCCCATGCGACGCGTGGGACCTGTGGGACCTCTGGGGCCTGCGAGCCCTGTGGGACCTGTGGGACTTGTGGGACCTGCGGGACCAGTCGGATCTGTGAGACAATCTGTGGGACCTACGGGACCTGTGGGACACGCACCCGCTGCCGGACCCAACGTCCTCGGGCCCCCCCGCCCCCCCCCCGCAACTGGACTCGAGTTGATCTCCAGAAGCACTCCGAACCCGCTGAAGACGAGGCCAAGGTGCCAGATGAGTTTCTTCTGCTGAGCCAGCTTGAAATTCCAGTCACGAGGTAGCTCCATCACAGGCGGACGGAAAGAAACAACAAAAACAACGCTGCTAAGGAAAAACTGCTCCACCGTAGCAGCAGCCTGGCCTCGGCGTGGGGAACTTCGTCAGAGGAACCTGCAAACGGCAATTGTCATGAAAACCGTTGCGATGATTCACCACGCGCTATGGTGGGCACCTCCCTTCCTCCTTCCCCTCTCCTCCTCCCACCACTCCCCCCCTCTCTACCTCCCCCCTCCCTGCCCTCCCCGTCCCCCCCTTCCCCTCCCCTCCCCTCCCCTCCCCTCCCTCCTTTCCCACTCCTCACCTCTACCCCTTCCAGCACCTCCTTCCCACCGGGGGCCCCCGGGCGCCTCCTCACTGGGCGGGCAGCCGTCTGCTATGGGGGCTTCGAGGAGCGTGAGGATCCAGCCGATGTCCGGCTGGAGAGATTGCGCGCGCGGGGCCGTGCAGGAACGAGAACGAAAGGGACGAAGAAAGGCACAACTTGAGAACCGAGAAGGACCGGGACAGAGCTGAGCTGTGAAGATGAAGTGGGCGCAGACGGACGGACGGAGAGAAAAAGAGAAAGGCGATAGGGCGGAGCAGCATTCACTTTTACTCCGACGAAGGACCGATGGGCTCGGCCCACAGCAATCGCTGGGGACAAAGCTGTCAGGGGCATCAGAGCGTAATCGCAGACATGGACCCAGCTCAGGCGACGATCCCAACACAGCCCAAAACAACTTGCACTGGGGTAAGTACAGGGCGGATGATAACTGTGCCCTCGGTTCGCACGCGCACAGTGTAGCGAATGGCCAAGGCACCCTACCAGCCTGAGTTGCGAACGAGACCGATCGCACCAGGAAGGAGCTAATCTAAGGCTAAGGCGACAAAGGTAAACTGAGCGGGAAACCTAACCACCCCTGTCTTTGTGTCAACAGCTGCGGAGAGTCCACCCGCGCCGGCTGCCCAGCCGGATGGGAGGCCGAGGCCCTGCAATCGAAATTACGCTACCAAGGAACCCCACGTACTTATGATGTGGTTGGCGTGATGATAGCGGAAGTGAAGCGTACGAAAGTGATGCTGGCGGCCGCTGCCCCGCCGATACCCGTGGTGACGCCTGTCAAGCCATGGGAGCCCGACACGCTGTGCGAACACTAACGAGGAAACGCCGAAGAGACACTGGGATGCTGCCACGAGACCTGCCCCCTGCGCACGCCCCGTGGCGTGGAGAGAATGCCTGCCGCGCCCCGCGACGCTGGGGCGGATAGGGACCACGGAGAAGGACCACCCCCTACGCACCCCCTGTGGTGTGGACAAAATGCCGCACCTGCCGAACCCCGCGGCCCTGGGACGGATGGAGACCGTGGTGAGGGACCACCCCCTACGCACCCCCCTGTGGTGTGAAGAAAATGCCGCGCCCGACACGCCCGGGGACTGGGAGGGACAGGGACCACGCTCAGGGACCACGCCCTGCGCAACCCAATGGTGTGGAGAAAACGCCACGCCTGCCGCGCCCCGCGACCCTGGGACGGAGAGAGACCGCGTTAGGGGGGCCACCCCCTGCGCCCCGCGACCCCGGGACGGAAAGAGACCACGCTCAGGGACCACGCCCTGCGCAACCCCTGTGGTGTGGAGACAGTGCCGCGCCTTCCGCCCCGCGACCCTGCGACGGATACAGACCGCGGTGAGGGGCCACCCCCTACGCACCCTCTGTGGCGTGGAGAAAAAATCACGCCTCCTACGCACCCTCTCTGGCGTCGAGAGTAAGCCACGCCTGCCGTGCCGTGCGCCATGGCCCGCATAGACGCCACGCTCAGGGACCACCTCCTGCGCACCCCCTTTAGTGTCGGGAACGTGCCACGCCTGCCATGCACTGGGAATCCTACACGTATGTATTGTATATGGCGTCCCATGTGTATGTGTATGCTGCGTGTGCTGCCGTATCTGGTCGTGCGTATCATGTGGATGCTCATCATGTGGCCTACGTCTTGGTGTACGATACAATCCACACGCCATGCGCGCACTAGCGTTGTACGGTGTGTGTGTGTGTGTGTGTGCGAGTGCGTGTGTGTGTGTGCATGCGTGCCTTATGTCTTGTGTGTCTTGCGCATGTGTGGTGTGTGTGCGGCTCTACGCGAACGCGTGTCTCAGCGTGGCTGATGTATGATAAGTGCGGGGGGCTGTATGTGGACGTGCGTAGCATGTGGATGCCAGGTGTTGTGTCGTGCTGCGTATGCCTCTGATGCGTGTGCGCGGCTAGTGTTCGTGTGCACGTGTGCGCATGCCTTGTGTGCGTGTGTCTCATGCGCGCATGAGCGTGGAGGAGTGGACGAGGAGAGGTGAGGCAGGCTGAGGGAGAAGGGGGAGGAAGGGTGAGGAGAGACGCGGGTGAGACGCGGGTGGGGAGAAAGCAAGAGTCCCACTAAGCATGTGGGGAAAATGTCCGAAACGAGTCACACAGAAAAAAAGTTCCCACGCGATGCCGCAAAGGTACTCGGCGGTACCCGCGGCGGATCCTGCAGCGCAGCCGTCAACTGGCATGGACCGCCCCGAACCGCGTCGAGCTCCATCCGCAGCACCGCGCCGCAGGCAAAGCCCGCGCCGCGGCCTGCAGGCTCCACTGCCACGGCGCCCACGAAGGCCGACAGGCTGTGCCTCGACCGCCGCGATGCAGCAAACTCACGGCAGGGCTTCCTGCCCCCCCCCCCCCCCAAAAAAAGACGCCCGCAAAATCAAACCCACTTGAAGGAGAAAAGCCCTACTCCGCGCGCGCGCATGGTTGCGCGTCAGCCCGCAATAACCAGCGGCTGCGAAACGAGAACGATCCAGGCCACGAGAGTCCTCCTACAGAAACTACGATCGGATGGCAAGATCCAAAATCAGATACGTCAAGGGGCCCGAGGACACACGAATAAATACACACAAATAACAGGATTCCCCAAATGTTCCCATATTTCCTGGGGGTTCGTCTCCCCCCCACTTCCCGTATTTTCCTATATTTTCTGGGGAGTCGACGATTAATTATGTCTGTGTTTTTCCCCCTCCGAAGATACGGTGCAGAGAGAAGCCAGGCAGGCGCAAAGCACCATCATAGCTGGCGTGCTGAACCAACAGGGTATCGAGAAAAGCAGCGGCAGGGGGTGGAGGACGGACGGGAAAGCGCAGACGACCACAACGCGTCCAGAGGACAAGGGCTCCCAAAATTCGCGCTTCGCGCTGCGCGCTGCGCGAAGTGCGAATGACTTCGCGGTCTCACGCCGCCTCCCAGGGGAGAAGAAGAGGATGAGAAGGAATCGGAGCCGAACCGCGAAGCGCGAAGCACGAAGCGCGAGTAACTTCGCGCCCTCGAGGGCGCCCTGGGAGAAACACTAGGGAAAGCGCGGCACGAGTGCACAACGACGAGTGGGCAGTGCACAGAGATATGCTCCCGGAGACCTGCGGGCGCCACCGCCGTCACGGCAGAAACAAAAAAAATGAGAAAGCGGAGACGCGGACTCGGCGCGAGGAAACGCGCGGTCGTGCCAACGGCACAACAGAGAAGCGATCAGACCGCAGACCGAGCCGAAGCCCCGGCAACTGACTGAGGCAACAGATCTTGCGAGGTGCCAGCGGGGCCGAGGCGACGAGGAGGAGGAGGAGGAGGAGGAGGAGGAGGAGGAGGAGGAGGGAGGAGGAGGAGGAGGAGGAGGAGGAGGAGAGGGGGAGGAGGAGGAGGGGGGAGGAGGAGGAGGAGGAGGAGGAGGAGGAGGAGGAGGAGGAGGAGGAGGAGGAGGAGGAGGAGGAGGAGGAGGAGCCAGCGGGGCCGAGCTCACGGCGGGAGGCCGCCCAGGGCGGCGCCGCCGGCAGAGGCGCGGACCGCGCCGGGCGGCGCACGGGAGGGCGCCGCGCGCCGCGCGGGCGGGGCAGAAAAGACAAAGACACCAAGGGCGGCTGAGCCGCACTGGTGGTGCTCAACAGGCATCGCCAACGAAGCTATCGGACAAAAGACACAACTGGGCGAGCAACGACATATGTACATGTACGCCTTCCGCGGTCTTAACCGCGTACGTGTACATATGTTGCTGGCCTCTGATCAACGGTTCTTCAAAAGAACAAGCCAAGCGGTTCCAACCGAAGGGAGAGAGCGGGAGCAGGGGCGGAAGAGCGAGCAGAGATGGCGACGGCGAGGCGGGAGAAGCCGCCCGCGGCCGACTCTGCACCTGCAGCGGATGGGCGCGCTCAAATTGAAGCCCTCAGGACACGACCTTCCCCAGGGCAAGTGCGAGCCAGGCCGAGGCCCCAGCGGAAGCTCACGCACCCGACCGCGGCACGACGTCGTCCACGTACTCTCTATCAGCTTCGTTTCCCCATGCTGGAAAGATGTTCAGCGGTCCATAGACGGGCGGGGGCCATGGGCGGAAAAACAGCGGGCCACGACAGAAGAGGCACTCCCCCTCTTCCGCACTACACATGACGCAGAGCGGAGCACGCTGTCCGGGCACCCACTCCTCGCGAGGGACCCCCCACATAACCCAGCAGTCCTTGCAGCCCGCCGTCGAAGAAAGGCGACAGCCCACACACGGTCTCACCAGCGCACCGCCGGCAGCAACGTCGAGGAACTGATTCCATCTGACGTGCGCAACCTCTTTGGCAATGACCCGCTGTGACACGCCATACTGAGAGTTGGCGCGGTCAGGCGGGCACGCCCATCAAGGCCCCCAGCAGGCAAAGCATGTAAACGCGCCTCCAGAGCACACCGAAGTCCTTCACCTTTGCAACCATTGCTCGGAAGGGGGGAAGATCTGCAGCGCCACGGACACGCACCTCCAATGGTTGATCGGCACCAAAACCACAAGGAGTAATCCACCTGCCCGTCCACCCAGACAGCCATTAAAACGCTTCGGCGCCACAGAGCACGCACGGTCGCGTTTGCCAGCCATGGTGCACGGTATTTTCTGAAGCCTTCAGAATCGGAAGGGCCATGGGTAGGAGGTGGGCGGGCGCGCGTAGTTCCAGCACCGCGATGGGCTCGAGCCCGAAATGGGCTATCAGCGGCGGCCCCGATTGGGCTGGCCCCGATTGGCACGGCACGGGGTTCTGTCCCTGTCGCGCTGCCTTCGCAGTCGAGGAACAGCCACTTGAAACATGACCGTAGAGATGTATTCCGCGTACTCCGCTTGCAACTGGACAGCCAAAATAAAAGCTCGTAGCTGTTCTGAGTTGAACAGAGCGGGATATTTGACTGCAATTGCAAATCTGCTCGATCGGTGATTTGTGCCCCGATCCGTGTTGGTGCTGCGTTGGAGGTACTCGATGAGGGCCGCGAGCCTCGACTAGGCATTCTCATCGTCCTGCGAGGACTTCCGCCTAGATGGCTCTGTTCGGCGGAGCCTCTGCCGTGGCTGCTCATCGTTCCGGTCAACTGGTGGACGATCACGTTGTTGTCTTCCTTCAGGTTGTTTTGGACCTTGCCTCCTCCCCTCCTGAACACGATTTTGGCGCTCCTCGTTGGCCTGGACCCAATCCCATCCTGATTGGCCAGCTCCACACCCCTGGCAGTCAAGGTTCACCACGTCCGCAAACGGTGTCCACGCAGCCTCTTGAGTTTGTAGATTTGTCCTGGAGACAACGGTGACACGAGCCAGTGGGGCGGCGCACTCCGCTCCGGATGCCGATCGGTGGGCGATGCTGCCGTGGCACGTAGCGATAAAACTCGCGTGCTCCTGGCTTGCAAGCGACTTCACTTTGGAGGGGGGGGGCTAGCAATTGCGTCTCTTGTCTCCGTGGATCCGTGCCCCTGGGTGCAACCACCGATTCACCTATGTGGGTCCTCCAGCGTGCCGCGGTGGGAATGGGATTACCCCTTGTGCCAATCGTGTATGCCACCAAGTCTGCGCGGGCTCGCTGTACTCCAGAGATTTGGTGTACACGCTGCTCGCCCGCTGGGACCCATCTACATTGGCAGAATGATTGTAGGACGTTATGCTTCTCCTCAAGCGACCAGCTGCCGATGTTGTTTGCCTTATTGATGTCGCGTCTGTTTCGAATATGATCGCGTGTTGCCAGCTGCACGTAGGCGTTGGCCTCTGGTCCCATCTGCGGAAATCGATCCAGCAGGCCACGTAGCTCCTTCCCGGGCACTCTGCTGAAGTACTGACCCTCGTACAGCCCCAGGCTCCCGCCCAGATCGGGATGAGCGGCAACGGGAAAAGAGAAGGAAGAACTTGGGGTACCATCCGCATCTTTGGACGCCCGAAAAGGGTACGGAATACATGGGCACAATGCCCAACACCAAATGTTATCCCAAACCAACAGCGGCCGCTGTTGGGCGGGCGGCCGCTTGTCTCCAACGGACACAGGCCGCGGCGGCGCGGACAGCGAGTCCTGTTCAAAATGAACCGGAACTGCTGTTGGGCATTGTACTCCAGATTTCGTAATGAAAGGGAGGGGGGTCTCATTTCGGGGGGGGGGTCTCTTCCAGGCTATCTTGGAGGGCCTGGGGGGGTCTGGGGACGATGTTCTGGAGGGTTCTCCCACGGGGGAGGTCTGAAATGGCTTGTCTTGGAGGGTCCAGACCCCCTCCCTTTTATGACGAAATCTGGAGTACCTATTTGTTCTGTACCCACTTCGTTCGTGCTGAGAGCATCCGCCATGGCGAGCGCCCGGAGCGCGCCCGGGCATGCTCCCAGCCAGGGCGTGGTCGTGCCCGCACGGGGCCAGGAAGCTGTCGAGCGCCAGCGCGTCGTGGCGGCGGGGGGTCGCTGCCTCCGTCCGGGCAGCGGGTGTCTGTCCCTGCCGTGCTGCGGCCACAAGTCATCCAGCGCACCGTGTCGCTGCCCGTCCTGTCTCGCCCCCGTGGCTGGCCACCTCACGCACTGAGCCGGTGTGCGTTGCATGGGGTCGAAGCGTGCAGCGGTTGGTCGTCCGCTCGTAGGCATCTGCTCCGATCCGCACGTGCGGCGCATCCGCGCACACACACACACACACACGCACACGCACACACACACACACACACACACACGCACACACACACACAGACACACACAGACACACACAGACACAGACACACACACACACACACACACACACACACACACACACACACAGACACACACAGACACACACAGACACACACACAGACACACACACACAGACACACACATACACACACACACACACAAACACACACACAGACACACACAGACACACACAGACACAGACACACACACACACACACACACACACACACACACAGACACACACAGACACACACAGACACACACACACACACAGAGACACACACACTTTTCTCCGTACATATACACACGTGCACGCACAAACGGCCACTTAGACCACCGCAGAATCGTAACCATAAGACCATCCGCCTTACAATGAGTGGAGAACGGGAGAAGGAGAGGAAGAGAATCGTAACCATAAGACCATCCGCCTTACAATGAGTTGAGAACGGGAATGCAAACAGAATGGGGGAAATGCAGATGGCAGGAGAGGAGCGAAAGAGGAGGGGACAAGAGGGGAGGGAATGGAGGGGGAGGAGGAGGGAGAGGAGGAGAGGGGAGGGGGGAAGGAGGCAGAGGAAGGGGGAGGAGGGGGGGCGAAGGGGGAGGCGAAGGGTGGAGGGGGAGGAGATGAAAGGGAGCATGCTTGAATCTGTCACGGACACGATGCCACTAACGCAACAAGAGCAGCGGCAAGCCATGCCTTGAGGAACGTCCCAAATGTTCCAAGGCCGATCTGGAGTACATGTACGCGTTCCCCCTGGGCGCGAGCACGGAATCGCTGACCAGCTTTGGACCCCATTATGCTTGCAAGCAACGGCGAACCAGCAGGCACGGGCAATCCCCTACAGAAGCGAAAATGAATGTCGGCATTGATACAGTCTGGCGGACACTGAAGCTTTCGGATGAGACGAGAGTGTTGAGGGAGAAGGAAAGTGTAAAAAAGGAAGGGCTGCAATGGGAGTACACATTGGCCTCAGCTGCATCCGCTCCCATTCCAAACCGAAACAGGTGTGAGATCCACAGGAAACACTCACGCGGGGGAGGGAACGCGTCCCGAATGCGCCCCGACGGTTTCGGGGGGTCACTCAGCGCGCAGCGACGGACGACGTACCCGCTGACAGCGCGCTGCAGCTGGCGCACTCCCCCGACCCCACTGTGGCAAGGGCCGCGCTGCCCCGGAAAGGCAGCCGCCCAGTAGCGTCCTGGACGCAGGTCTGGTGGACTGCTACACCCCAGGCCGCATCCCGAGGCCCCAGGACGCGCTCCGCCCTGGCCCCGAGGTGGCCCCAACCTTGCCGAATGCCGTTCTTCGAGGCGGCCCGACCCAGGCCCTCCCCAGACAGCCACGCTGCTTCCCGACACGTCCCCAAAACCTTCGTCTCCGCCACCGAGCCCTGGATCAAAGTCTCGTGCGGTGCTGCCATCGTGCCCAGCGACTAGGTTAGATGGAAAAAAATCCGATCAAGAAAATCCCCGAACAACTCCCTGGACAACCTGGACGACCCATGCCGATTCATGACGACAGGACGACCTACCCCAAACAACCCCTATTGGACAACCCAGCGGAAATCCAGACAACAAACCCACCGGACAACCCCCGTTGGACAAGCCTCGCCCGGATCTTGCCATCGCTCGGACGTCCATTCCCCGTGTTCGGTCTCGTGCGCTCATGTTTCGTGGGATGATCCAGGATGCTCCTGGATGGTTCTCGCCGAGAAAAACTTCACATGTCCGAGCGCTGCCAAGGGGATTATCTTCCACAAGATATAACATGTTCTGGATCTCGCAACCTTTGGGCTTCGTGGAGGTCGTCGATTGCCCCCCACGTCCTTGGCATGCCCCCCGCCCTCGCTCTGGCTACATCGCTCCCCCTGGACCCGGAGCCGTTCTCGAGCAGGGAATCGACTACATAATCAATGTACTCCAGAATCCCACTAGCCCTCTGGGCGTTCTGTGTTCAATTGAAAAATTATCCGATCCCCCCCCCCCAAAAAAAAACAGACAACCCCCCGGACAACCAGGACAACCCCCGCTGCTTGATGACGACAGGACGGCCTACCCCGGACAGCCCCTTGGACAACCCAGAGGGGATTCACACACACACACACAAACCAGCAGGAGATCCAGACAGCCCAGCAGGAGATCGACCACATAATCGATTTACTCCAGAATCCCACCAGCCATCTGGGCGTAGGTGGTTTGATGAACTTCGTCTTCTCTCTGCCAAAACCCCTCCTTCCCCTGCTCGGGGAGAAGCTTCTATGCACCCCCTCCCCCAGGCGACAGGCGGCCAACCAGGAACCATGCTTCCCCCACCCACCATCCCTGTCAAAAAACAACATAGAACGCACTCTGCCTCCACATGTGGAGCATACGCGGCCAACCAGATGCGGCCCCCTCCCACCACTCCTGATTAAAACCCATACAAAGTACACTTTGGGGCAAAGTCTTGAGTCATGCTCGTGAGGCCCGCGAGCACGTTGTACTGTTTTTGACAGGGACGGCGGGGGTGTCTGCATGTTGCCTACTGTGCGCAGGGCTACCATCCCTGACGAAAAACAATACAAAATGCACCTCGCAGCTAAATCTGGATCATGCGCTGCCACTGGACAGCGGGGGTGGTGGCGTATGGCCTGCTATGCGCAGGCCTACCAGACACAATGATGGGCATTGGTTTTCGACAAGGATGGTGAGGGCCAACATGTGTCTCGATGTGTGTTGTCACGTGCGCAGGCGCATCTGACACACTCTGCACGTGCCCCGAACGTGGCGCACCTGGCGCGGCTGGAGTATGCGGCACACCCGGCGCACGCGGAGCACGTGACGAATCTGGCGCACCAGGCGTGCCTTGCACGCTCGGGCCCCAGGGGTGCCTGGCGTGCGTGGCGCGCCTGGCACGCGTGGCGCACCTCGCCCCAGCGTCGCGCACATGGGGTCGGTTTTGGTTCCCAATAGCTGTCCATCCAAAGACGACCGCTGAACATGCTCAGGCTCCTGTGTTACTTATGTGTTGGAAGGGTGGGTGGGAGTGAGCTAGACGGCTTGCTATCTACGGGGTCTCTTAATCACTGTTCCCTACTAATCAACACCCCCTCCCCCACCCGGCCGGCGGCCAACCCGCAGCAATGCCAACCCCCCCACCATCCCTGTCAAGAAACACTACAAAACACACTCTACCTCCACATTCAGTGCATGCGCGGCCGCCCCGCGACCACTTTGTATTGATATTTTACATGGACGGCCGGAGTGCCGGCAAATCCCACCTGCCTTCTGGCCGCGGGTGGTCGTCCAGGATGGTCCCAAGAGGCTCTCCTGGGCATCCGGGAGACCCTCAAAAGTGCCCTCAAACCGAAGACCCACCCAAGGCCCAAGAGGACCCGAATACCTCCAAACACCACCGCAACATGTCCCGAAGAGGACCCTGAGGGAACACCAGCAGCACTGGCACCAGCAACAACCGCAGTAGCACCAGCAGCCCCGGCAACAGCAGCGGGACTACGATTGTCCCGTCGGGACCTTTGCATTGGTATTTGACAAAGCCTCTTCGGGGGTTCAAACCTTTGGTCCTTTGGCCCGGTGTTACTTGTGTGTTGGGAGGGCGGGTGGGAGTGAGCTACACGGCTTGCTCCTTGTAGGAGTCTTGATCACTGTTCCCTATTAATAAACACCCCTCCCCCAGGCGACTGGGGGCCAACCAGGGACCATGACGACCCCCCCCCCACCATCCCTTATAAAAAACTATAAAAAAAACACTCTGCCTCCAAATTCGGAACATGCGCAGCCAACCCGATGCGCCCCCCCCCCCCCATCCTGTCAAAAAAACAATACATAATACACTTGGCGGCGGCGGCGGCTGCGGCGGCTGCGGCGGTGGTGGCGGCGGCTGCGGCGGCTGCGGCGGCGGCGGCGGCTGCGGCGGCGGCGGCGGCGGTGGTGGTGGTGGCAGCGGCTGCGGCGGCGGCGGCGGTTTGGCAGCGGGGGGCGGCGGCGGCGGCGGTGGCGGTGGCGGCGGCGGCGGCGGCGGAGGCGGCGGCGGCGGCGGCGGATTGGCCCCCAGTAGCTGCCCATCCAAAGACGACTGCTGAATATGCTGAGGCTCGGGCCAGGCTCGGGTGCTACGTATGTGTTGGGAGGGCGGGTGGGAGTGAGCGAGACGGCTTGCGGGCGGGGAGGGGGACTCTTGACCCCTCTCCCTAGCCCCTCCCCTGGGTCTTGAGGGGAGGGGCCGCGAGCGGTTAGAGCGTCCAGGATGG